GTTGAGCTCCAGCGGTTTAGCGTCTCACCTGGACTCGGTGAAGTACGAGTGAACTTCACCGACTCTGACTGAATCTGATGTTTGTGCTGCAGGTTTCCATGAGTGGTGGAGCGCCGGTTCCCTCAGGCAGAGTCTGGTCAACTGTTCCGGCTGTGCAGAGATCTCCTCGGTGCTGGAAGTTCCAGAGAGCCTCAGAGGAACCGTGACGCTGCGACGAGGTCCACAGCTGGTCCTGCTCAAGGTCAGAGGTCAACTCAGTCTGCTGTCGCACTGATGGATGCAAAGTTAGCAACAGCTGTTAATAATGATTTTGGGTTTTTCATTTAAACGAGTTGAGATAGAGAAGATTCAGCTTTTCTTTGAATGTTTTTATCAACTTTGGTCAAAGTAGAGACTCAGAAATCTCCTGGATAAAGTAACCGTGTCACAGGTTTATGTTATGACATATGACATTACGAACTAATTATCACACATTTATTTCAACGGTATTTCTAACAAATCAGAGTTTTCTGTCCGTGTCATGACTGCTTTAACCCTCTGAATCCCAAAACCTGCCGGCAAATTTTGAAATGCATGTCATCTTAAAAAAGAATCGGCAAAATTACAACATTTCTTAGAATCAGAAACTGTAAAAGCAGAAAGAATCATCAGATTTCTGACGTCACAAACGCGTCCCATCAGGAAAATCTACCAAACCTGTGGGTAAAATCGAGATATTTTAGTAAAAACTCACTTTATTCTACATGGCTTATTTTTTAAAAAATCACCAAAAATTGACTGTTTGGTCTAAACAGATTCTGTAAAAAGCAAAAAAATCTTCGTTCTTCTGTGTCTCAGTGAAGTTGTCAGTGATGTAGCTGCAACCAACATTCACGTGACAGAAATTCTGGGACTGTTTGGCTGAACTAGAGGCGGCGTTTACACAGAGCAGAGAGGAGACGAGGATGCAAACAAAATATAAATAGTTAAATGTCGGTAGTATGTAGTCATAATCATATATTGCAATGAAAAATGTGGCAGGAGCAAAGAAATGCTCAGAAACTGCCTGAAGTGGGCTTGTTTTATTACCCTAAGGTGTCTCCTGGCTTCCCTAACTCTTTTCCTCCCACCGAGGATGAGAGCTTCAGGATTAGTTTCTTCATTTTCGTCGCCTTCAGACGCCTCCTCGTCTCCTTTAGGCATCTGAAGATCCTCCATGATGGTGTTGGAGGAACGATTTCTGGGTCTCGAGAGGATGTTCAGAAGCATAAATTAGCATAATAAAAAGCACTCAGTGGGTTTTTCCTTCCTTTTGTTTCACTTAATTCCTTTAAAAAGGAGCTTTCAGAGACTTTAGAAGAAATAATCCGTCCGACTTAGTGTTCCAGCTGATTTTATCGTCTTTAAGTTGAATTATTTTTGCAGACTTTTAAATCCAATGACAGTATGGAAAGTGCTCAGCTCCTCCCTGTCTGTTCGTACTGGTTTCTGTCTGTTCATACTGGTTTCTGTCTGTTCATACTGGTTTCGGTGCGTCCCCGGTGCTCTCTGCAGGGCGGTGAGTCCCTCAGCGTCCAGCGGCAGCAGCTGGAGGAGCTCTACTTGGCCCACTCGGGCTCCATGTCCATCCTGCTGGAGGAGGACGACGGCCTGCAGAACCACAACCTCGGCCTCCCGCAGGGACCCGCGAACTTCACCCTGCTCTGGTACACCTTCAAATTACAAGCTCTCAAAATACCACTCGGTTCTCAGTTCTGGTGATTGATCAGGTCGAGTAGAGGCTGCATGGTAGTGGATTAAACTGACAGAGAATTTTTAGCAAAGGATCTGAACAACTGTATTTGGAAAGAATGAATCTTTTTAGAATGATGACGGTGATTTTGGAAAGTAGTGACTCTGCAGAGAATATAGAAAATAATTCACAAAAAGCTTTAAAAAATAAAACAAACCTGTGTCAAATGGTTAAACACTGACAAAGACATGTGAAACAGGGAGTAAGAACTTTGTCCATCTACAAGAGAAAACTGGAGAAAAGTCTTTAGGAATTGTTTAGTTCTGATTATTCTTAATTATCACTCATGTGGGTTAAGGATCACTACGTCAGAACTGATCAGAACATGTGTTTCCGTCTCCCATGAAGCTCATTTACTTTTTTTTTTTTGCAAAACAGGGGAGTTGTTTTTGCTGTTTTCATCATTTTTTCCTGAAGCAATACTTCAAAAACTGTACCGTGTGAAAGCAGTGGTCCCTGATGTGTTTGTGTGCAGGAGGTTCAGCTCTGGCACCAGGGAGAAGGTGTTGCGGTGGCTCTTCCCGAAGGCGGAGCTTTGCCCGCTGCTGGACAGCGCCGGTACCATCCTGCAGCGCTGCCTGGTCACCCACAGCACAAACTCCCAGAGCAAGGTGAGTCCAGCCGACAGGAACGATGAGGGGAAACCTGCAAAAGGAAGAATCCAGATCAAGATTTAACACATTAGTTTTGCTGCAGTTCTACAATAAATAAACGACAGCAGAAGCAAAAACACACAACTGCACAGGATGTACTTGAATTGATTCTGAACTCCAGAGTCGAGTTATTTTAACTAAATCAACAAAATCACAGTTTATCACAGCTATGAACCGTAAAAACAGGAAGAATTGTCTGTTTTCCATCAGGCCTTGAACTGCTCGTCTGTGACGCACCGTTTAGTCGGAAAACTGAACCAAATCTAAGCTTAAAATCATGATAACGCATCAAAATCACTTCATTTCATGTGTTTCATTTAAGAGTAGGATACAGATACTCTGTTTGCTTTTACCAGATTCTGTAAAAAAACAAAAATATTCTGAGTTCCATGATGCAGCCGTGAAGCCTTCAGTGACGATCACAGGACAAAAACAGTTCAACTGAAAACACTGAAGTTATCTCAGCTGGATCAGTGATGGTTTCATGGTTGTTTCAAAGAGCTCCGAATATTTTGTTTTTTTTACAGAATCTGATCAGAGGAGATCGTTTAGTTTTGGCAAATTGTTAAATGAGACGTGTAGAATAAAGAGAATTTAATCTGAAATTTGGATCATTTTCCACTGAAACAGCAGGTCACACATGAAGGACGTCCAGGAAGTATAAAATGAGACGTTACTGTCTGTTTTTACCGTTTACCTGATAAATGGTGTCATTTTGGTAGTTTAACATTCAGAGGATTAATCTGTTTTTACAACGTGAGCACAGAAACTCTTCTTCTCCGTGACAGCTGCAGCCGTCACAGATTAACTCTCACCTAAAAGATCTTCTTATTGATAAACGTCTGGTATGAATGCTGTTTCTGGAGGTGGTGCCTTCACTGTTTTTGCAGCAGAGACTCCATCGTCGTAAACTAAAGGCAAACCCGTTCTGTGTTTCAGGGTGTCGGGGTGTTGGGCTGGCTGGTGGTGGGCGAGGGGCTGCCGACCGTCCGAGTTCTGCCGGTGCAGCGCTGCCAGAAACACTGCAGCTCCTTCAACCTGTGGCTGACGCCTGGAGACATGGGTACCACCTGCACTGCTGCTCCACACACTGACACCACATTAAAGTACAGCTTAGAACCGTCACAACACACTGGTTCTCTGCCTGAACTAAAAACAAAAAATATCAGACTGATTAGCCTTTTTCTACAATTCGTGAAAGTATTTATTTATTCTTTTTACAGCAATCATCTAAACGGTCACACCTACAATCTGTCAGTAATGGCTCGACACTTTGCCGACACCCATCAGTCTACTCCCCAGACACGGCTCATACTCAACCTTAAGCTCTGGAGAATGTCTGTAGTTTGATTTACAGGAGTGTCTTTAGTAAGAAAAAGCAGCAGTAGAGCTTGTTGTCCTGCTGAAACTCCCCCTCACTGATTCCTCACCTGTACGTCTGCAGTGTACGCCGACCCCCGATACTGGCAGATGGAGCTGTTCCCGGGCCGAGGCCAGAACATCATCTGCGACGGATCGGCCTTTTAGCCTCCAGGCGGCGCAGCTTCAGGAGGACTCAGCAGGTCGTCGGTGAATGTTGGAGGCGTTTCGGAGCTCGGCGGCCTTCCTGTGGCTCCGCCCACTGATGCCTTACAACCCCGACCCGCCGTTTTGTTTTGTTTTTTTTTCTCCTCGGACGACTGGAACACCGCGGTTTGGAAAAAGAGATCTCCTGCGGGGTTTCGAGGTTCGAGGACTTGACTTTGTGACTCCTGACTCGTGCCATAACTTAATCATGAAATCATCAGATCGTCGCTCACCTCGGAATCACCAACACCTCCGACTGATTCAGGGGTTTGATCACGAAACTCTTCCCCTGAACGGAGAATTAAAAATGTGCACCCCATGTTTTCGGTGCTGGAACCAGACGCCGGTTTCTAGCCATGTAACCCTCTGAACTCCAAACTGGGTGCTTTTGTTTGCTCCTGGCTCATTTTTCCTCACTGTTGGCTCATTCACAGAACGGCAGAATCAGAAAAAAACGATCAAAAAAGTTGAATTTCTTTGATTACTCTTTTTAAAAAATTATTTTAAAAAATGGATTCAGAATGTACAGTTTTTTTCCAAGTGTCCACAGCTGTTAAAATATGATTAAAGCTTATTAATCTCAAAGGAAGAAATAGAGGCTCTACATGCTACAGATATTTAACTTCACATTTTTAGTTCGTCTCCTCTCTGCTCTGTGGACACGCTGCCTGCAGTTCAGCTGAAAACTCTGAATTTTTGCCGCACGATTGTTGGCCACAGCTGAGTCACTGATGGCTGTAAAGTTGCAAAGAGGAGTTCAGAATTTTTTGTTTTTTGCAGAATCAGTTTCGAGTAAACGGTTTATTTTTGGCTAATTTTTAAATGCGATATTTTTAAAGGGATTTTTGAAGATGAGTTTTAGCTGCTTTCGAACAGAACGGCTGATAAATGGTGTTTTTTTTTCTTAATGTTAACGTGTCTGTCAAACTCTCCGGTGGATTTTGGGGTTCAGAGGGTTAAACTGAAATGCGTCTTAAGTTTCCCGCCTCCTGATTGGTTGGAGCCCCCCAGCCCTAAACAGAAGACATTAAATGGAATCAATTAATTTCTGATCATCTGATTATTATGAAGTGAAACTGAAGGAGTGGAATCAGATCACGACCAGCAGGAGCACCGGGAGGCTCCACGGCCGCCTCGCTGCTCCCGTAAGTCCGACGTGTTCGTCCAATCAGCGACAGAATCTTCTTCTTGCACTGCATTCTGGGAACTTTACAGGAGTTTTGGTGTCGGGGATTTGCTGGACTTTCACGTGGATGTATCGAGACGGCTGGAAAAGAGACAAAAAAAACCTCCGACTGCACAGAAATTCTTCAGTTTTATTCCCCAGAAGCAAGAAAAGTTTGTCGGTCTGTGTCATGTGAGACCTCGATGCTCTCAGATTCTGTTCAGAGTTAATTTATTTGTTATTTGTGACCAAAAACTACGATCTGTAAAATATTTTGGCTGAATTTTGAGAATCAAAAATACCTGTGAAGTCATTTTAAAGCTTCAGAAATAAAACTCACACAGCGAACAGTTATCAGCTGATCTAAATGATCGGATGGCTCCAGCAGAGGACAAATTTATAATTATTCACACTTCAAATTGGAAAAAAAAGTGCAAAATTCTCAAACAAGGCTTCTATTATGGCCCCAGAAAGTTCCTGCAAGTGTATATAGATACATATATGTGGGGATAATTCCATATTTTCTACTGAAATACAGACTTTGGTTGACATTTTACCAACTGTTGAGGCTCTAACATCATCAGTAGGAGTGGATTTGTGGCAAATATGACAAGACAAGGTTCCAGTTTTTTGCTTTTTTGACATCAATGAGGCCATTTGGAACAGTTTTGAGTCAATTTAGAGAACTTTTCGATTGATTTTTAACTAATTGTGGGGCATTTTTGATTAATTTTGGACCGATCGCAGGTTGTTTTGGACCACTTTGAGCCACAACACCACCCTCGATTAAAAATATTGCACTTTTTTTCCATTCAAGGACCAGTTATTAGAAATGTGTCCTCTGCTGGATCCATTTAATCCTCTGGATGAACTAGAACTAGATTTCATGACTGTGTGAGTTTAATTTCTGGAGATATTGAACCTTTAAAATGACTTCCAGGTATGACGAGAACTTAAAGGTGCAAAATTCATTCAGAATGTTTTGTAGAACTCTAGAAGTTTTTGGCTCCAGTGAACACGTGTATGGAGCCTGAACTGAATCTGAGGCGACGCAGCGACGTGTTTCCTGACTCCCCGGTGAAGTCTAAATGCTGAGAAACAAACTGCTGCTCAACACGTTCAGCATCCAGATCCTCTAGAAACATCCACGAAGCTCAGAGACCAACCTGCAGCTTCACCATCTGTTAAAGGTTCAGCTCAGCCAATAATCACAGCAGATCTAGAACACTGTCAGCAGCTTCAATCTGATGATTTATGCTCGTTTAACTGTTATACCTTCACACTTTAAATATTTGCAGAGTTACAGGCTCTTAAAGTGAATAGAGGAGGATCCAGGTGTAGCTGAGAGAAGCTCTGAGTGCTGCCAAATGGTTTGATAATTCCATGTTGTTCTATAAAACCTGAACACTAATGTTGTTTTGTGAGTGAATCATGTCTAGAAAAGGATGATTCTGGTCTCTATGATCGTCTAGAACTTGTTCTGACCAACCAGCCATCACACATGAGCCTCGAGAGTTTACCCAGAATGCACTTTTTAAAAGTTTCCTCTGGTGGTTTTGCTGTTCACGCTACGATACATCCCATAATACTGCTGCTCAACAGATTCCGTCTTTAGATTGTGCCACGTGGATGAATGTAAATCTGATTTGGTTGCACCTCTGTGAACTTCAAGGGTCTGTGATTTTAAAAACATTCACAGTATGAAGTTAAAACTCTGCATTTCTTCATTAAATACGCTGAAGTTACTGCAGATAAAAAACATCAGCAGATTCTGAGGACGTCTGGTGGTTGATTTTTAGGATAAACATTGAATTATTGCTGCTTCTCACTGGAGGAAACCATCTAAAGACAACAGAAGTTGATTAAATTTGGTTGAACTGGTCCTTTAACAGCCCATCACAGACGAAGCTGCTTCTCTGATCCCGTCGCTGTTATTTATTGTTCCGCCTGTACATACGTCACACCGTTAATTTGCTGTAATGTTCTATTTTTGATCATCGTCACTCGTGACCATCGGCGGAAACGTTTTGTGCATAATCAGGGTTTTACTTCTCGTTAGAAGGTCTTGAGTTCACGTCCAGTGGGTTTTGCCAAAGTTAACGCTCGTCAAATCAGAGTCCTACAGACGTCTTCTAACATGTTTCGCTTTGCATAGAGATGTCATAGTTTTATGAGAAAATTAAAACTTGTCATGTATTTGCTTCCATCTGTGTGCAGTTTTTTTTTGGTTTAGTTTAAACTGACTGGGTTCTTGTTTGCACAGATCATTTAGAATTTAGTCTTTAATGATGTCGTTGTGTTTAAGGTTAGTCAGGAAAACAGATCAAAAAGGAAAAATTTAGAAGCAAAACTGCATTAAAATCCGTTTTTTTTCCAATTAGCAGCTGCTGTTACATTCAATAGACCTGAAACTTGAAGGTTTTCTCTAATTAATCCTCCTTTATGAGCAAAGATTTGGTTGTTTCTGATATTTTTCTGCTGTTTTTGTACTATTTAAATCCACATATTAGTTTTTCTTTCTGCCTTTTGTTCCCTGAACTGGATCTTTATGCAGAAACTGTAAACTGGGTGAAGCCAGTTTGATGCGACTGAGTTCATAGTGACTGTAGAAATAGCAGCAGATTGCCTGAGGAGATGAATTTATTTATCCAGCGGTGATCTGACGTGACCTCAGTTATCATAAAATGAGTCGTGGATGTTTCAGGACGTAAGAACGGTGAGTAAATCCAAACTCTCACGAATTAAAGCCGCAGTAATTGCTGTTTTAGCCACTAGAGGGCAGCAGACAGAAGTTTCCAGCAGTTTTCAATGATCGAATGAATCCAGCAGAGGACAGATTCTTAATTACTGGTTGTAGAGAATCAGAAAAGTGCAACAATATGGGTTGTATTGTTTCCACAGAAGCTCCTGTAAATGTATATAAATGGATTTATCCATATTTCTACCAAAATACAGTCTTTGGTCGACATTTCAGCAACTTTTGAGGCTCTGGATCTGATGTGTACCAAGTATAGCAAGACAAGTTATTGGACTCCAGTTATTTGCTATTTTGATGTCAAAACACCATCATGATTCCATCTGGACCATTTCTGTGTGACTTTAGAGAATTATTTTTTATTTTTTTTAATTCTTGACAAATTTTGTGTTGTTTTGGACCATTTCTGATTAATTTTGGACACGTTCTATGTTAGTTTGGACCATTTAGTGCATGGGGTGTCCAATCCTGGTTCTGGAGGGGCACAATCCTGAATGTTTAGATGTTTCCTTCTTCCAACACACATGATTCATATGATCAGGATCGTTATCAGGCTTCTGCAGAGCTTGATGATGAGCTGATCATTTGAATCAGGTGTGTTGGAAGAAGGGAAACATCTAAAACATTCAGGATTGTCTACTTAGGTTTCTTCTTTTCTGTTGAATTTCCCTTCTGGGATAAATAAAGTATTTTTCATTCATTCATTCATTTTCAGACAATAGAATTTAGGAGATGGTTCTTTACCTTAGATGTTTCGACTCGAACTTCAGTCTTCCTCAGAGGCACACACAAGAATCACAAGGTCCGAAAGCAATGAACACAAAAGGTTCATCACGGAGGCCATCGAGATCCGAAGACGGGGAAGGACGACGATCAACCGGGATAAAGGCACCTTCATGCTGTCACACACCTGGGACTCTCTCCTGCAGGCACTGGCGGGCGGCGGGGGGCGTGGCCAATCGGACTGACAGATCTGTCCGATTGGCCACGCCCATAAGGAACACCAAATAAATGACACGTCACGGCGATCAGCTGACGCGTCTGAGGAAGACTGAAGTTCCAGTTGAAACATGTCAGGTAAAGAACCATCTCCTAAATTCTATTGTCTGAAAAGAAGAAACCGAAGCACTAATTCAGAGTAGACAAAATGAACTTGCTAGACGCATGCAGGATTGTGGCCCTCAAGGACCAGGATAGGACATCCCGATTCAGAGTCATTTCAGGCAAGTTTTCAACAAATTAAGATTCAGCAGCAGAACAGAGCGTGTGTTATCCAGCAGACAAAGATGAACATTTGTGTATTCCTGATAAATTAACATCTGTTTTTATATGTTGCTTTGGTCCCCTTTAGAGAAAAATGTGACTCTTATGCTGCTAAATGTTCAGTTTTATTCACCAGATCTGCTCCAGTGAACCAAAACAAGAAGCTAATTGAGGCTAAAACGCTCCGTAGTGCTTCAAAACATCCAAAACCTTCATTAGTGCAGCTTTAAATCATATATTTATAGGAATAATACTGAAGTGGTACTATAGTAATGAAAAACAACAAATCTATATTAGTATTAATGTGAAAAATGTGCTGCAGAGAATTTCAGTGCAGAGGAGAAACTTGTTGGAAGCAATATCAACTTTAATTTGTAGATTTATTCTCAGTAGAGCTGCAATAATTAATCAAACAATGTAAATTCTCTGATTAAATCCTCTTAAATGTAAATGTTCTCCACTTTATTCACTCATTTTGTTGCTAAAATGTCAGAAAAATAATCAGAGGAATGATTTGCAGCTGATATGTTGTTGTTTTTTTACATTAAGAAAAGTTTAATTTCAGCAAATAGTACAAAATAGTGCCGTTTAATTTCTGTCCACAGTACAAAGCTGTTACAGCAGAAACTAGTGGTGATGATCTGATGATCAATAACATGATTAATAGTTTGATGCATACAATATAAGACGGCAGTGACAAATGTTTTCAGATGAAAATCAGTTCAGTGTGAAAACAACCTGGAAAAAAGCAGAAAGTCATTCAGCAGCTGTTTTTTTTTTTTATTTTATTATTATTTATGAGTAAATTAAATGATGAAATAATCAGCAAACGTCTGGTTCACTGGTCTGGTTTTAGACAAAAGTGTTGATGGACAAGGTTTTAGGTGCTTCATCAGATGAGTCCATGAATTATTGATCATTCTTGATGGTTTATTAATTGGTTTGAGGAACAGTCCTGCTTTTTAAACGTGAATATTTTCTGCTTTCTTTCCTCCTTTGTGGCAGCAAACTGAAAATCGAAACAAAACATTTATCATCTCTGAGAAACGCTGATCGACAAACGACCATAAATCCATGAATCAATCAATCAGCAGTGAAAACATTTGCAGTAATCCACTAATATTCGGCAGGTTCTGTGCAGTTTATGTGCGTTTAGACAATTTATAGTTGAGCAAAAATGTGTATATAAATCTGTTTATTGTTTAAAATAAACTCCTAAAGACAAAAGTTCAAAGTTAGTCGTGTCTCAGAGCCACAGTTACACTTTTCAAAGCTTCTTATCTAAAACGTAAAAACATAAACGCAGGAAAAAGCAGCTGGTGAGATTCAGCTAAACCTAATTTATTGGCTTTTTACATATAATGAAATGAACAAAAACAGCTTTGATGCTCAGTGTGTTGGTTTGTTTTGCTCCAAGAAGAAAGAAAAGTAAGAAAACTGGTCCTTACAGCAAACTGAACCGCCTTTAAGTGTTGTTTTAAAGCAATAACGTCTAAAATCACTGTTTAAAGACACAGAAATAGAACGAATAATTAACGTTTGTACAAATATAACGCATTTATAATACTAAAACAATTTCTATTTCATGAACTGCTCAACATTACAGCTTAGTCGTCTTACATGTAGTTATTATCAGAGCAGTTCCTGCAAACGACGATAAAATGGATAAAAAAATTAATTAAAGTAAATGTAAAGCAGCTAAAAAAACCCTGGCTCAGATTTAAACTGGATATTTTATTAGCAAACAGCATCAAAGTTTTCAGCAACGTGTGTAAAAGACCTGCAGTTAATAATCTACAGATGTCAGTAAACTCTCTGTAAAACTGGATATAAAGTGCAGCGACGGAGACACAGTTTGAAGAAAAGGTGCAAAAGCGTCATATTTGGTTTTACAGAGTCAGTTCACCCAAACGTCATCTGCTGTCAGTTTGACTTCACTGCTTTTATATTCCAGCTGCTTTAAGTGCATTTTATTCACCTTCAGATTCTTGAGATGAAGATCTCTGGCTGCGTACTTACAGAAGGAGGATCTGTTTGTGTGAACTGACCCTTTAAAAGCCTCCAGCGTTTTTAAAAGCTCCACAGAAAGCCTTCAGATAGTTAGAAAAAGGGTAAAAACAGAAGCAGTTTAAGTCGGAGCCGCCGGTCACGTGGATCCCGCCAGCAGCGGAGAAGTTTCAGAGGGTTTGTTCTGACGCGACGCTGCGACGCCCCCGTGTGGCCGGTCGTAGAGGTGGCTGCAGTGCACCACGGCCACGGCTCGCAGGTTGATTTTCTGGAAAGAAAAAAACAGGATTAGAAAATGTTTAGGAGCACTTAGAAGCTGTGGTTTGGACCGACTGATACCACTCAGGTCTAACATGAAGCAGTCAGGTTTAGACTGAAGCAGCTCATCAGGTTTTGTCCAAAACGTATAAAAATCTACAAACAAATACGTCAAAAGCTCTTTATTTCATTATCATTTATCTCCTCTGCATGAATACTGAAACACTGAAAGGACAACTTGCAGTCTCAGGAGGTGAATTATGGATTTAGTTTTCTGTTTCTGACTCTGAATTCGGACCCTAACTGCCTTTATAATCTGTGTTTCTTCTTTAATTCAGAGTATTTCTCTGCATAAATCCGCCTTGAAGGACAGACGAAACAATCCAGGTGTGCAGAGACTCTAACAGCTTCTACAAAGTACTGAATTATGACTTTATATTCTACATTATGATGGGTAATTGTATTAATTTAATGTTAAATCTATAACCCGATTACGTGTCTGAACTCTTTCTGAAGCGACGTATTAATGAAGTTCTGCTGCACTAATGAGTGCTGCTGATCTTCTTCTCAAACTCAGGACAAACTTTAGCTTCTCTGCACTAAACTGAATATTTGAGAAAATGAGGACTTGTTTTCAGCAAATCTGTCAGACTGGACGTAGCCGACTTCCTGCAGCAGCTGTGTTTGTACCTGGAAGTCCCTGATGTAGGTGAGGAAGAAGCTGATGAAGGAGAAGGCCAGACACCATTCAGACACCGTGCTGACGATGTGAGGCGCGTAGCCCTGCAGGAGAGACGAGACGAACCCGAGTCATGCAGCATCAGATAAAAGACTGATCAGTTCCTGGTTTAATCCTCTGAACCCCAAAGTGTTTTTCACTGCGATATAAAGTCCTGCAGCTCTACAGAAACAGAACGACCACGAAGAAGGAGACAGAACTCAGGAAAAATGAACCTCCAATCAACATTTCTCCACAGATGTTACCAACACTGGGGAAAAAAACACAGAGGCTCTACATACGATAGATATTTAACTATTTAAGAAGAAGAGTCCCTGATTTTTAGTCCCAAGACTGTTGGTCAGAGTTGAGCCACTGATGGCTTCACAGCTGCATCGAGGAAGCCAGAATCTTTTGCTTTTACAGAATCTGGTTGGAGCAAAGTGTTTAGTTTTGCAGAATTTTAATATAAAGTGAGTTTAAATTATCCAGATTTTAAGCTTCCAAACTTAACAGCAAATCCCAGATGAGTAATTCAGGAAACACTGGAAGCTTCAAAGTCTTTTAATTCTTTCTGTTTTTACAGTGTCTGGTTGATAAATGGTGTCGCTTTGAGGATTATTTTTTTAAAAGAGGGTGTTTGGGGTTCAGAGGGTTAAATCATAGCTTCTCCAGATTGAGTCTGATGTGATTGTTTGTGTTTCTCTAACTGGAGCTGAAAGTTAGACTCTAGTATAAAACAATTCTTTCTGTCTACTGACCGGCTCTCCAGGAGTCCAGTGAAGCTTGCGAGGTACGTCCACCCCCGACAGAACGCTGTACATGATGACGGACGACACGAACACTGACGGGCCGTTAAGGATCAGAACATTAGAACACAGCAGACGGGTTCGGATCAGAGCGGCACAGACAGCGAGGTTCAAACGAGTTCACGTGTTCAGCAAACAGGCGTTAAGGATACTGCTGATGATGCTGCCCAGGGTGCAGGCTCCGATGGTGAGGCGAACCAGGTAGGTGGTCCTGCTGTGGACGTGGGGCTGCATGTAGAAGGAGAGCAGCGTCTGGACCAGGATGTAGAGCGCTCCGACCCCGAAGGTGAGTATCGCCCCGACCAGGTGCATGGAGAACAGAGTGGTCTTCTGCTCCACAAACACAGACAGACGCTTTAAACACTTCAAACACTTCCATAAAGAAGAACCATTAGGTCATTTGTTTTATTTGTTAATCGATCATTGCTGATTATCAGTTGAGACATTCGTTCAAAACTTCCACCACTAGTCCTAAAGCAGTCTGAGACCTCGATCGTGGATCAGAAGGATCCACCGTAACAAGCAGCAGCAGAGTTATTTCTCATCTGTTTTCTCATTTCTGGTCAATAACACCTCATTTTTTTTGCATTTCTAACTATTTATGTAGCTCCTATCACTCTATCGAGATCATTTAGATCAGGGGTTCTCAACTGGTCTCACCCTGGGACCCACATGTTCCCATGGTCATTAAGTCGCGACCCAATTTTTTAAAGAATTCAATATAGTTTCCTGTGCAACGTATATTTCAGAGCATATAACCATGCATAGTAACTGGACCATGACAACTGCATGTACAATACTGCAAAAAATAAACAACAAACAGGGCACAAAACAACATATTTTCACTCCATTTTAAGCAAATTAATAAGAAAGTAAAGAGGACCATGACAACTGCATGGACAAAAGTGAATAAAATAAATATCAAAAATACTCAAAAATTAAGTTTTGGCCTAATCAGGTCATTTGTTGAAGTTAATGAGACAGTTGGGCACGTGCTCTAATCTTGATCAGAAGTCTTACAAATGTCTCATCTATACAATCAGACTTGTCGCCCCCTGCTGGCCGTTACAGGGAACGCCATCTGCGTCCGTCTCTTATACACAGTAAGTGGTGTTAACTGATCTGAGAACAGCAGCGCTCACCTGGAAGTTTGCCACCACACACATCCCAAAGGAGCTGATCAAACCCAGCAGCAGCCCGATGCGGTTCAGTCTGCGGAGCTTGAGCTCGTCTTCACCCGTCAGAGCCTCCACCTGTTTGTAGCGGACGTAGACCGTGGCGATGCCTGCAACACAAGAAACATGTACGCTTTTATGTTTGTTTGTTTTTTACAGAGACAGATATATCGTTATAAAGACAGCTGCACAATAAACTATTATGACACATGGTTAAATATTTTAAAAACATGTCAAAAACTGGAAAAAAATCCCAGAATCATTGGATTTCTAAAGTTTGGACACATTTATTCCAAGTTTTTTTCTCCAGTTTTGTAAAATAAATAAAGAAATTCAACTTTTCCACAGACTTGAGAATCAATGCCACGGAGGCCTGGAGCTGTTTTTAGCGGCGTTACACCCATTTAAGACACTTTATTTAGCTTTTTCCTTTAATCTGTCACCAGCCT